GAAAAAAGCAGAGATATATTGTGTGCCCACAGTGTGTAAAAACACATCAGATTTGTTTTCCTTGTGGAAAAGAAACATTTTCACAACCCTTTGTTTTTTTCATTTTTGTGACACAGAGATCATTTCCTTATTGTAAAATCAAAATGTGAGTTGGTCTTAAATGAGCCACACATCTGTTAAAATAATATTCTGTATAATAGTATAGTATTCAAAAATGCAGCCGTAAAAAGTACGGTACTCTATAGTAGAATGGATGTTGGGCAAGCTAGCTGACAACGGTCCCCAATTCACAAATCCAACAGGAGCAAATCCTCAAAGACCAAAATAACCTTGTGGAGACTAGGGATACCCAGGCTTCTGCAGACATCGTTCATAAACTTTAATATCTAGGTTCAACTTTGAAAGCACTGAGATCAGTTGCAGTTTTACTATTCATTTCATGGATGGAATTTATTCCTTTGTGTTGATTTCATTTTAAATCACTGGAAAAATTCAAAAGGAACAGGGGTGATTTCTGCAATACGTCCAAGACACATGCCACATTACATAATTCATTACGTTGGCTCCCCCTTGTAAAATTCAGCTTTACTGATCTGTTTCTGAGTCTGTTGATCTCATTGGAATAGTGCATAATCACCTGCAGAGCAGTTTTATGAGTCTGCTGCTATCTTTTATTTCCTAGACTAAGTAGATGCAGAAACAGCTTTCATTCTGACCTCTGGGCATAAATATCCACTCATATCTTAACTGATTTATTTTGCATGGGAAAGATAAACAGCTACTACCCAAATATGAACAAAATAGCCTGTGGGATATCCAACATTAGACATGTTCGAAGTAGAACCATTAAAATCAATGGACTTAAGTAAGTGTAGCTCTAAGAATGTAGCCAGAATGCTCTCCTGGAACCCTTGTAGTCTCATATACAGTGGTACCTCGGGTTAAATATTTAATTCGTTCCGGAGGTCTGTTCTTAACCTGAAACTGTTCTTAACCTGAAGCACCACTTTAGCTAATGGGGCCTGCTGCTGCTGCTGCTGCTGCTGCTGCTGCTGCGCTGCCAGAGCACGATTTCTGTTCTCATCCTGAAGCAAAGTTCTTAACCCGAGGTAATATTTCTGGGTTAACGGAGTCTGTAATCTGAAGCATATGTAACCTGAAGTGTATGTAACCCGAGGTACCACTGTACACATATTTATATTACATATTCTTGATAAAATTTCGGAAATGGCAGGTTGTTGTTGTTTAAGTGTGAAATTATTCACATTTTGCAGAAGTTTATTCCACATATGTGGAAGCCTGCTACTGTATATGGGGCTCTTTTGCTGCACCAGTGAAATGGATTTTAATGTGTGTTGACCCTTCCAACAGCCACAAGTCTAGTTTTTGTAGTCTTCTTTCCCATCAATGCTGAGGAGGAAACCTTGAACTTTGTAAATAAGTGAGGGCATGGGTCATCTGTGTGGCCAGGACTGCAGTCCTACCGGATAATAAGCTCCACTTAATTCAATTAGACTTGCTTCTGAGAAGAAATGTACAGAATTGCATTTTATGAGACTAAGGTCAACATAGTACCAAGGAGATCGTTCTGTCAGCTAAGGAGATCAGCTTTGCTTGCCTGGTAGAACTCCCCTTCCTCATCCCTGCCTCTTCTTGGGGTTCTCTCAACCCTACAGAGTGAACTTGGGGGAAATCCAGGTGAAAGAGAAGGGAGAGTCCTTGTGCTGGTTTTCTCTAGCAGAATAGGATAGTTGAATCTGACACTAGGATGTGATGGTACAAATATAGTCTTAGCTCATCAGTTTCCTGGATTGGATACCTTTACATTGATTTTCAGCCATAAATGCCCATTGCCCAAAATTGTAACAGTGCTGTCCTGTCTTACACCATTGCTGTGCTGAAATACTTGCTGAAATGTCTGTATATATGTGAGAACTCTAAAGTACTTTATAAATACGTGCTGCTGGTGTTATAGAAGGACAGCACAATACTGAATTGGGTGGAGCTGTGGGTCAGACTATATGTGTGATTGGCAGTTCTGTGAGTCTCTCTCCCCCCTCCCCACTTTTTAAATTTTAAAAGCAGCTGCAGGAGGCTAATTGGGAACAGAAAATTGGTGGATGTAATAGTGTGTGCTTAACTCTTTACTTTCCTGCTGTTCATCTATTAAAACCCCCAAGTGGCTTTTGTCTCTATGATTGGGAACATAATTTGCGATGGGTTTTATTAGGTAGGTGAGGGAATATAATTAACTATATTTTGTCCCCCTACAGAACCCACATATGTAGGTTAACAGGCAGAAGGATCAGCTTACGACTTGCATTTAAAAGTGTGGGGCTGAGAAAAGTTTTAATCCCATTTTATGTAGTTTAATTGAAAGCATAGGTGTTAGCTGTTAGGCTGAGCTCCTCCTTTGTTACAGCGTTTATCAGCTGCAGACTGAAAAGTAAGTTTAAAACATATAGTTTACTCACAGACAAGCATTCACCCTTAGCAGCAGCAGAAACAGCAGCAGCAGCAAAAATAAATGCAGGTAAAAGACTTGTGTTTACAACAAAAACAGCTTCAGGCATGGACTTGATATGGGAGCAAGCAGTCAGATGTCCCCCTCCATGGCTGGTTGAAGAGAAAGAGAAAGAACAGGAAATACTTTTTTGTTTCTTCCCTTCCAGGACAGGAGGGGAAATATCACCACACAGAGCCTTCTCTACCAATTATGTTTTTATGGTCTGAGTTCGCCTATCAGCAGTACAGATGTATGGTTTTGCTATCAAGAATATGCATTGTTAGATTTGACTGCATATCCCACAATTTGGGGTGTGTGTGCAATTTTAGAGTGATCAATCAGCAGAAAGGGAAAGGATTAAGCACACCCTCTTCTCTGGTTCTCATTTGTAGGAAAATGTTGTAATTAAAAATTTAATAATAATTAGGAGGAGGATGACACAGGTGGCGCTGTGGGTTAAACCACTGAGCCTCTTGGGCTTGCCGATCAGAAGGTTGGCGGTTCGAATCCCTGCGATGGGGTGAGCTCCTGTTGCTCGGGCCCAGCTCCTGCCAACCTAGCAGTTCGAAAGCACGCCAAAAAGTGCAAGTAGATAAACAGGTACCGCTCTGGCGGGAAGGAAACAGCATTTCCGTGCGCTGCTCTGGTTTCACCAGAAGCGGCTTAGTCATGCTGGCCACATGACCCAGAAAAACTGACTGTGGGCAAATGCTGGCTCCCTTGGCCTGTAAAGTGAGATGAGTGCTGCAACCCCAGAGTCGTCTGCGACTGGACTTAACTGTCAGGGGTCCTTTACCTTTAAAATTATGGAATTGTACATGACATGTACTACTAATTCCTTCTCCTGGTATATTTTCAGCCAATCTTTCTTGTCTCTGGATGTTTTACTAAGTTGCCTTTTCACTTTTCTGTGGGAATATGTAGAGTTCAGTTTCACAGCTACCTCACCCCTTTATAAACTGCTTTTTTGTTGTTGGTAGGAATCATAACTCTGTAGTTTGCTTATGTGGAGCACAAGGAGACAATTGCAGTGTCAGAAAGTTGCAATAGAAGAACCAGGACTAAGGGTTACATAGCTGAAGAAAATGTCTTCAGAAGTTTGAGCCTCTGGTGGTTTGTGAGTGGCAGCTATACATGTAATAAGTGGTGTCAGCTTTGTTAATGCACTGCTGATTGCCTGCTTGAATAAGGCAATGTATTAAGTCCTTGTTATAGCACATAAGTTGCAGTCCTCTGACATCATGCAACCGCATCTTCGAGCAAAACTTGACACTGCTGGTAGTCTGTTACTGCACATTCACTATGGAAGGATTGTGCACACACACCTTGGTGCGTATTACTTTAAGCAGTTATTACCTTACACGGCTCCTTTGAGAGGTCTAGCAGGTCTAGCTCCTTTGCCTAGCAGGGTGATCTGTATAACAGTATCATACTGGAATGGCAACCATTGCATTTTTTAACCTGCAAAATGCACAAGTTGAAGCTGTATCAGGAATCTGAATTCCCCAAGTGAGGGAGATATAAATACAGTGGTACCTCTGGTTACAAACTTTATTCGTTCTGGAGGTCCGTTCTTAACCTGAAACTGTTCTTAACCTGAGGTAGCACTTTAGCTAATGGGGCCTCCAGCTGCTGCTGCGCCATTTCTGTTCTCATCCTGAGGTAAAGTTATTAACCCGAGGTACTACTTCTGGGATAGCGGAGTTTGTAACCTGAAGTATTTGTAACCTGAGGTGTTTGCAACCTGAGGTACCACTGTACTGGGTTAGTCATAGTTGGAGTATGAAATCAATGAATTTCTTAATAATAACTTAAATTGCTGCCAATGAGTATACTCTAAAATATGACTTGTTTGGAAACCAGCCTGCAGTTTGGATGTTTTCAGGAAAAACCACAGTGAATTTATGCATCCTGTACTTGAGCACCAAGATAATGTTCCAAATGCAGTAGTACATTTTTGCCTTTGGTGAAAACCCGAACTAGAAAAGGCAATATACAATGTTATTTGTCCAAGTTGCATTCAAAATACTTGGATAATCCAATGAAAGGAATTAACGCAGGTAGCAATATATGGGCTACTAAAGTGTTTTAGTGGGTTGTAAGTGTGTGTATAAGACTCAGTCCTTTGTAATAGCATATCTCATTAAACACAGCCATTACTTGCCCAATACATTACAAAATTCTCCATCCGATCTCTGTCTGTCTTCATGTTATTCATCTTTCTAGTTCTTAAGGTTTGTTTAATTGCAGGGCTCATTTATCATGTCATGCTGTTGCATTAATGATGGTGCTTTATTGTGCCCTGTCCCATACGGTAAAAAAGATCTGGAAAGATGGGAGTTCAGTTTCAGTTAATGCAGTGGATCATTTTTGTTGCTTGTAGGACTAGGGCTATTTAAAAATGGAATGTGGCTATAGCACTGTTCATGGCTGCACAGCGTATGTAGTTATTTTACTTGAACTAAAAATTAAAACCTGACTTCTTTTCAACCAGTTGTAGGCCTTGGAATGGACCCCAACTTACAAATTGATATCATCACAGAACTGGATCTAGTCAACATGACTATTGGAGTTACACAGGTGTCTGGACTACATAATGCCAGTAAAGCATTTTTATTTCAAGGTAAGGCTAATATCTTTATGTATTTAACAGGAATGAAAGTGCAAGTAACTAATAATTTGGAAGACTGACATATTTCTTGCATATGAAGCATGTTCCTTCCCTCACCAATCTCTGTCTTGGTATCCTAAAAGTAAAGTATATCAAAACCACTAGTAATGATGCTAGATAGCTTTAATACTAATTTTATTTGAAAAGTTTTTGCTTTGTTGCTGGAACACATTTATGTTTGAGGGGGCTGTACTGTTGACACAGGAGAGTTACTGGTGCAGCTGCACGGATACACCACCCCAAGAGTTCTGCCATATAACTCTCCTGGTATAGCAACCCAAACAAGGTGGGGATGTGGCCAGAACAGATGAAGAGTAGACACCACCATAATAATATATTTATACACAAATAGTGGATCATTATATTGACCATGGAGCTGATGCGAAGAGGAAAATAAAATATTGTCCTCCTTTCCTTCTGATGTCTCCACAATGAAATATAGTATATGATTCCCGTCAGTACCCAATTACAACCCCATACCTGCCAATGTTTTTCAGCAGAAAATTGAGACACGGGTCAGCTGGCTCGTGCAAGAGCACAACACCAAAAGATGCGAGAGTCAACTGGGCGCCTGCCCTGCCACAGCCCCTGCCTGGCAGCTGCTCACTTTCTTCCTTCTTTGCTTGCTTCCTCTGCCCATGCTGCACCTCATGCAGCCATGACAGCGTTGGTGGCTTTGGCAGTGGCAGAGAGGGGCTGACAAGAGCAATGCTCCCCTGCACGCAAGGGTTTCCTCCTGTGCTTGGTGGGGGTACTGGAGGGGGGAAATGGGACATTCCCAGATGAAATCAGAAGCCAGGATTGCTTCTGTAATTCTGTGAATGTCTCAGGGAAATAGGGACACTTGACAGGTATGCAACACATCAGCACCAGGATAAAAACCCTAGAAAAGAGGACCACAACTGAGATGATAGGGTGTGTAGCATGGGACTATATCTCTCTAGTCTTAGGTCATGCAAGCACAGGGTATATATGGGGGAACCCTGGTGAAGAGAAACAGGGACAATGTGCAGAGTGCCTAAGTGTCCATTAAAGATCTCTGCATTAAGATAATGAGGGGGAAGTTCTGTTAGTGGTCCCCACACCAAAGAAATTTGTGTGGTGGGGACCTGTGGGTGGGCTTTCTTGGTAACAGCCCCATTCCTTTGGAATAACCTAAAGTGCATCTCACTAGGACATTGCTGTCATTTGTCACCCATTCAAGACACACTGCTTTGCTTGGGCTTTTGGGAAAGGGTGAGGTATATTAGATTGGATTTTTATTGCTGCTGCTCTTTTGTTTGCCTGGAATTTATGTTGGCTTGTATAACTTTGGTTTTAATTCTGTGTATTACTACCCTGGGAACTTTAGGTGAAGTGCGGTCTATAAATATGGTTGATAAATAAATAAACAACTTGGCCTCACAAATCTCACAGAAACTTGAGCTTATTGCCGACACTTCTTTGCTTCAAACATTAACAGGTACCTTGCATTGGGACTCTAGTCAGAAACATACAACAAGAATATAGTGTGTGGTGGTAGTAGGATTGGTTACATGAGTTGTTTGTGAGACAGGAAGGAACAGTTAAAAAGGTTATTTGGCCCATATACGAGCTACACTATTGAGTGTGGGAGTTGCTCCCCACTCCTTGCAGTGTGGTGTTAAGCCCTGGATTCAAACCTGAAACCCCCTATATATAAAACCTGTGCTGGTCCTTCAGGCTAGGGCTACTCTTCAAGCCATTGTGCTCCTTATGCACATGACTGGGTAATGAGGTGGGGAATGCCCACGGCGTGTCTTGTTTTCAGTCTGCTGGTGTGATTGGGAGTTTAAAAATTGCTCTGTGGTGTCTGCATTGTGGATTTGAGGTTGAGGGAGGTCCCTCCGGCAAGACTTTTCCTGGTTGCTACTATTAAGTGTGTGGTTTTGTGGCTTCTCTTGTTGCCTGCCTGGTCTTTCCTTTTACCTGCTTGGTAAGAGAAACTTAATTCCTCCCTCAGTTGAACTTTTCCCAAGTAGGGCTATGTGTGTGTCTCTTCCAGCTTTTTGGGTCCTGTGTCTTAATGCTGTATCTTTCCATCTCTTTATGTGCTGTGATCAAAAGTTATACTCATAAGCAGTGTGTGGTATAAGGTGAACTGAACTTCTGTGTGCTGTATAGCTCTTTGTTGCTAGTGTTTTTGTGCCTGTGATGCAGTGGCTCACGCATTGGAAGCTGTCATGGCATAACTATATCTGGCAGGATGTGTGTGCGTTTTGTGTAGGACAGTGGTATGGTAAAAAGCAAACAATATTTTTGTCTTAACTTTCCCCACCCAATCAGTAATATGTCTAAAGCCGCCCAAATGTTTGTCCTAGAAAACATATATATATAAATGAATGTCTGTTTACATATAAAATGTATATTTGTTTATATGGACATATGTAAAGTACAGTGGTACCTCGGGTTAAGAACTTAATTCGTTCTGGAGGTCTGATCTTAACCTGGAACTGTTTTTAACCTGAAGCACAACTTTAGCTAATGGGGCCTCCTGCTGTCGCTGTGCCGCCAGAGCACGATTTCTGTTCTCATCCTGAAGCAAAGTTCTTAACCCGAGGTAATATTTCTGGGTTAGCGGAGTCTGTAACCTGAAGCGTATGTAACCCAAAGTACCACTGTATTCTGAAACATCTTAAAGTAATTCCAGAGTATATTGGGGTTGGGGAGAGGGAGAGAGGAACTGGCTGGTGTAATCTGCAGCTATTTTCAAGATGTCTGTAATCCAAAGCAGGATATGGGGACAGAGCTGGCTTCTAGAGACGGTGGGGGCTGAAAGTATCTTCTTGTTGTTAAGTAGTGTTTGGGTATGAGACAGTATGGTATGAAAATTTCTATATACATTTTAATGTTTCAAGTACTTCACATAAATCATCCTGTTATTCTGTAACATGGACCAGTACTGTTATCCTAGTATTGATCATGTACATATGAGAAAACGCCTAGCCTAGGTGAAGCTATACTCCACATTGCCATTATCCTACATCATATGGAGTGTTAGTCTTAAATGGGGAAGAATCTGACAGTGCATGGGTGAAGTCAGGGTGAGGTCAGTTTGATCACAGTGCTCAACCTCACCACCCACCATGCTCCTTCCCTGCACTGTCCTGGCAAATGGCAGCACTTCTCCTCATTGGCTGCTTCTAGTTGTATCCAGATTGCGTGTTCCTGCTTACAGAAGGTCCTTTGTTTTCCCCTCCTTTCTGTAGCCCTTCCACCCTGTACCACTATTTTGAAGGGTCCTTAAGCCTCCAAAGCAGTTCTTATTAGGATGGGGGTTAGAGCGGGTAGTGGCACCACTGATTGATATAGTGATGGAGGCTCCACTGGCTCAAAGAGCCTTCTGTCAGTGGAGGGACACAAATTGTGTACAATCCAACCACTGTGATGTTATTTGCACACTTAAAAAACCTAACAAATATTTACAAATCAATAGTGGAGCCACATGGTAATTTTCTCTTCATTGTGGTCCACCTTGTTCATGGAGCTATGCTCCATAACCCACATCTGAAGGCTTATGTAAACTAGAATAATATATTTGAGCACGTGGCAAGTACCTTTCCCTCCTAAATAGCAACCCAACAGCAACCTGCTGCTATTTCTCTGGAATCAGAGACATTTCTTACCAATCTTCTTGATCTTTGGCATTTCTCACGGTCTCAATTAACTGTTCATACTGAAGTGTAGACCAACTGGCGTCCTAATCTCATTCCTAGCAAAGCTAGAGGATAAACATTTTAATAGTGTTGTGCTTCGTGATCAGGCTCTGTAGTTAACCTATTCACAATGTGGAGTTCCATGCAAATCTGTAAAGTGAACTAGAAAAGTTGCAGCATTGTAAGGGAGCAGGGAATGGTTATATGAATCCACTCTGGGTTAGTTTGTGATATAACCTGCCTTCATTGACCTATCTGCTGCTTTTGACTCAATCAATTGTAACAGACTGTGGGAGAAATTCTCAAATTCTATTATAGACCCACGACTGTTATTATTAATTGGTGAACTGTATAGTGGTACCGAAACACGAGGCAGAGTAGGCTTAAAGGGAGGTCTCTCGGAAGCATTCAAGACATCAAGAGGCATGAAACAAGGCTGCATATTGGCTCCCACACTTTTTAACTTTTATATAAATGGTATGGTGCCACAGCTAGCACAGGTGCAACCCCCCATCAATTAGTAATAGGAAGATATCTTGCCTGCTGAACGTCGATGATGTGGTGCTCCTATCACTCTCCCGATTATGTTTTAACAATCTGCTTACAGCTTTCAGCAGGTATTGCAAGTGGGAAGAGCTCATTGTGAATTACTTCAAGACCAAAATTATGATCTTTGGGAAGCGTAGTCCCAGATTCAAATGGAAAATGGATCAGCAGAACTTGGAGCAAATACGCTCCTTCAGATATCTGGGAATCCTTTTCACTGAGACACTATCATGGAAGGGGCACATCGAGGCTACGAAACTCAAAGCGCAGAAAGCTTGTGGGGCATTAATGAAATTCTATTTTACGGCGGGTGGTCAGCTATAGGAACCTGCGTTAAAAATCTTTGCCGGTAAAGTGGTCTCCCAGATGCTTCATGGAGTAGCGATATGGGGCGAGGACCCAAATGCCAACAAAGCCTTAGAAATAGTGCAGAACAAATTCATCAGGAAAGTGCTCTCGCTCCCCAACGGGACTCCAGTTGCTCTTTTCCGCGTTGAAGCTGACGTGACAACAATACAGGCTAGAATTGATTACCTGTGCTTAAATTATGTGAAAAGACTTCAATTTCTTTCAGAGGAGATATTCCACACTATGTCACACACAGAACAGAAACAGACAAAATGTTGGAAGGACAGTATCCAACGCCTCTTGTCCCAATACCAAATACAAGATTTTCAGGTGACTATGAAGATGGACAAGAGGCACTTAAGAGATTGTCTCTTTTGATCCGAT